AGTTTTCATAGATGCTTCCAACAAAGACGACACTAAAGAAATATCATAGTTAAAACTTTGTATCTGGAGGCTGGAGAGATGGTTCAGTGGTTAAGAGCACTAACTATTCTTCCAGAGGTCCTAAGTTCAATTCCCAGCAACCACATGGTGGCTCACAACCATCTGTAATGGGATCTGATGCGCTCTTCTGGTGTGTCTGAAGACAGCTACAGGGTTCTCATATAAATAGAATAGATAAATCATTAACAACAACAAAAAAACCCTTTGTATCCTTGGCATATGGGTGAAAATATATGGTTGCGAGCCCACATCAGATTGTTTTTCTAGTATCAAACAATGAAGGAAGTATTGAGAAATACATAAGCAACTGTTTACATTTATCATTAAATATTTAATATTTTCTCTATGAAACATAGTATGTATGCTATTTGCATATATTTTATGTATGCATCCACAGTGTGAGTACTGCCATACTCCATTAATTTTCATTACCACATCCCATTACAGCAGGTGAGTTCCACCAGTTTGTTGATGATTGCTCGGTTGATTGTTGGAGCTGGTCTGCAGTATTTTTCTATTACAGCATTATGTATATGCTTGCATACATTTCCTGTAATATATGTGCAGAAGTTTCTCGAGAGGCTTGACTAGTTGTAAAACTGCTCGGTTATGAATGAGGTTATGTTTAACTCCTTGTGGTTCCTCACAAAATACTCTCTTTAATCTGTGAATTGTCTCTCATGTCCTTTGCCTATTTTTTTCCTGTTAAGTCACTTTTTTCTGAGACAGGGTTTCCCTGTGTCCTGGAATTCTCTTTGTAGACCAAGATGGCCTTGAACATCAGAGATCTGCCTCCCTCTACCCCCCTCCCCATCAGTAGAATTAAAGACACGTGCAGCCACACCTGGCTTTTACTTATTTTTTAAAAATATATTAAAAGTTTATGATTTTGTTACTAATTCAGTTAAAAATCCAATCTCTTTGGTAGTAGAAAGTGACAGAGCCAACTTCTACCTGCCTCTTTTTCATCATTTTAATGGACATTTAATAAAAGCATTCCCTTCAAAGTGACCAGACAAGAGTGCCTTGATGAAGTATATTCTCTTCACGTCATTGATGTGATCAAGCATGTTGGAGGTTCTGTGGATTCATTTGTGTTAGATTTCTGTGGCTTTCTTGATCTTTTATTGTGACCTCTCACCTGGCTGAGTTCAGTCTGGGATGATCTTGGGCCTAAGTAAACATCTCTTTCCTCTCCTGTGTATCTGTGTATTTGTGTCCTTTTCCTGCTGGAGTCACAGAGCCCCAGGACCACACAACCCCAGGAGCTGCCTTCAGGTTGGTTACATGTGAGTGCCCAACCCTCTGCAGTATGTTCCAGCTGTGCTTGCAAGAGGCAGCGGATTTCCCCCAGATGTTGGCTTTAACATTTACGTTTTACTTGGCAGCTCGTGTGGAGCTGCACTCTGGTTTTGCTGATCTTGTTTTGTTTTTTGTTTGCTTGTTTGTTTTTCAGGGAGAAGCCAGTGAGTGGTAGTAGATTTTCCTCACTCCGTCAGCTCGTGTAAGAGTTACCTTTCTCCAGGCCTGCTAGTATAGATTTTTAGCCCAGTCACTTGGGAAGCGGAGGCAGAATGTTCACAAGTTCAAAGTGGGCTTGAGCTAGGGAGCTCATTCTGTGCCAAAAGAGAACTGCAAAGGCAGGCTATATGACTCACTGCTGGAGTGCTTGCCTGGTGTGCACAAGGCCTTACGGCCAATCCTCAGCCCATCATGCCGTCAATTAGTCAATCAACCAACCTTATATTTCATACAGCATCAGATTCCTTTGTACTTGAAGAGAACGCTGTTTTCCATTTGAACTTCCATTGTTTTAGAACATATTTGTATATTTTTTTATTTCCTATCTTTAGTATATCAAAAATTAAGACCTAGCCGAGACTGATGGTCTCCTGCTGGATAAGAGCACCTCCCTTCTTATTGGGGGCTGCAAAGTAACTGAGTGAGCTACTGTATAAGGCAGTTTTTCCAGCATCAAGATCTGCTCAGCGACTCGATTCTCGTTAGCTGCCTGAAGCTGGAGCCCTTTGCTGATTTTCAGGAAGGCATGCTGACAGTGATCAATTATGTAATGTGAACGTGACCTCTTTTCTCCCTCTAAAACGTTGATTGGTGAGGACTGTCTGTGCAAGTGTGGCTGACAGTAAAGGCCAGGGCCACTGTCCTTGTACTGGACTTCTTGAGCTATGTGGGAAATGTTGGGAAATGGTTTTAATGCTTTGTCTGATTTTGACTCCTAATAATCTTTGCTTCCAGACCTGAGCTGGCTTTGATGGATATAAAGAATTGGCATACAGCCATTGGCTGAGCAGGGAAATGGGGCAGGGCTTTTAGATTGTATGGGTTAGAAACTGAGAGAGAGGAGAAAGAAAAGGAGAGGGAGAGAGAGAGAGAGGAGAAAGAGGAGAGAGAGAAAGGGTTTTGCCATAACCAGGAAGGAGAAAGATGAAACTTAAGGGCCCCCTGGCAGGTAAGAATCCTGAAAAATGGCCCTAGAGGCCACTTCTCTGATTGGGTCTGGGGTAGCAGAGATGAAATGTTGATTTAGCAAACTGACTCACCAAAGTTGGAGGGGAGGATATATGCTAGCCGAGGGGAGGAATAGAAATGCCCAGCCATCGAGATAGTCAAGGTGTATCAAAATTAGCTGGCTTGTGTCTCTTATTTGGGAATCCAGAGAGCTCTTGGGTGGGTGCAGAGAGTGTGCAACCCATCGGGAACCAAAGTGGTTTAACTAATTTACCACTACAGGGAAAAATATAAATATACTTTTTATAAAAGCAAATAGTTGAGCCAACTGTCTCTTGGGATTTAATTACATTCAAGTACATTAGTTCCTAAGTTATGTTCTTGACAACTAATTTTAATGTAGTATCTAATCATTAATTGTCGGAATATCTTAAATAGCAGACCTTACAAAGAGTCATTCGGACAAGTTGTCATTCTGACAATTTATGGATGCTTACAGAAGCATCTGGAGATTTAATGTATCTAGGTTTCTTATTTCAAGAAATCTTTATTGATGCTATAAATTGATTCGACTCAGCAACAACAAAAAAGAAGAAAGAGAAACTAATTTAAGTCAACAGTTACTATCTATTGTCAGATATTTATCATGACTAGCAGATTTTATATCCAGATTGCTAGTAAAGAGGCATTCATCCCCACTGGCCTGCCCTCAGGGACCTAGCAGCAGCTTATGTCATCATCTGCCACCTACAACTGCACCAAGTTTGCACATAAAAGGGTCCTCATACACCCCAGAGCTCTCTTTGCCCTCTCTACCTTTTCTTGTGTGTCTCTCTCTGTCATGTCTCTCTTTCTTGTCTTTCTCTCCCTTTTTCTCTCTCCCTGTCGGTCTGCTTGTCTGCCTCTATCTCTCCTGCATATCCCCAGTTCAAGATGGCCTTTTACTCTCCCCTCCCAGCAAATCTATTACACTAGTTCTATTGTTTGGCACAATTTCTCAGGGATACACCATAGCATGGCCCGCTAGGGGTACCCCCATCCCTTGCTTGATTTTATCCTTTTACTGATAAGGAGTGGATTTGATTGAGTTTGTAACAGCCCTTCTACTTTTCCAACTGTAGGCATTCATCAAGCTCCGGCTGAGCTCAGCAGGGCCTCCTCTCTTAAGTTATGTGCGCAGGGTTGTTCCACTCCGTCTCAAGTAGAAAGAAGAATGGAGTATCTCTTCACTGTTTTCATTAATTGAATTCACACTAATTTTTGTTGGCCATCTGGCAGCTCTTGCCAGCCAGATGGTTTGTCCTAGATAAAAATCCCATCCTACACTCAAAATTAATGGCAAATGACTTCTCAGGTTTGGAAGATGGAGCAGTTTGACTTTGTGGTATAATCATTACTGTCAATATTTTAATCAGTTCTGAAATACTTGTTCCACCTTCAATTTCTTTCTCTGGAATTGGGCAGTGATCATCCCTAACGTGGATGATCGATCGCAGTTAGCTGACAGGAAGCAGTGCTGACAGGAAACAGTGCTGACAGGAAGCAGTGCTGACAGGAAGCAGTGCTGACAGGAAGCAGTGCTTTGCTTTTGAGTGCCTCCATTTCTTCCCTTAGTAACTCATTGCATCTAGTGCTGTGACAATCTAGCTATCAAGGCATCATAAGGGTGGAGGGTCGTCTACGTTCCACTGTTAGCTGTGGACCCAGGCCCTTAAACTTGATGGTGCTTTTAAGCCTACTCATGTAACAGGGCCTCAGGCCCTAGCACAACCAAGTCCATGATGGAAGTACCATTCAGGCAGTAAAACTCAGCCTACTACCTGCCAAAATTAAAACAAATGCCCAACCCATTAAAGCACATATAGTTCTGGGAAAGTCTAAATGTACTAACCTGGCTTTTTTACTTCTGTAGTCCTGCTTCTGGCTAAAAGGTCTTATTAACTAAAGTATGTCAACCCCAACCATATTTTTTATGCTAAAAGCATACCCTGAGAGAGGCTCAGGGCTACATTGAGATCCCGGACACCCAGTGTTGTAGCTGGCAGGCTAACGAAGATGTTTCTATTGGCTTAAACTATGTCCGAGCTTCTTTGGTGAACATCCCATAAGATTTCTGGAAGTCTCACCAAGGTCCAGAGACTAGACCTCAAGTCAGTGGGGATCCCAGAGACCCTTGGATCCAGGAAGAGTGGAATAGTCAGGGAACTCCTAGGGGGTACATAGCCTGAGCTATTCCAGGTCCCTACGGCTCCCTTTAATCAGTCTCTCCCTAATGTCTCAGAAGGGTTTGATATCTCCACCCCAAAAGGAAAGAAAAAAATTAGAAAACCACCTGGTCTGTCACCTCTGGAGATAAGGCTGGTTAAGGTGCCTTCTGTTTGGACACATAGGAGAGATACTTGGCTGCTGACCCAGTGTCCAGAATCCATGTGAGACATCACTAGTCACTAGATCCTTCTCTCTGTTCAGGTATATGAAATGTGGTGGCCACCCTTGGTTGTCTTTACTGTATCTCTGCGTGGCCTGTGAGTATGTGTATGCGGGTCTATGTGTTTCTGTCAGTTCTGTTTCCCTATATTGACCAGTGGCTTTCTCTGGTGTAAAAACCCCTTAGATTAAGGCCTGTGCCCAATTCCATTGGGGACTGGAATCCTTTTGGCTCTGCTGGATCACCCAGAGAAACCTGCCCCCTCACCCTCACCCCCTCCCACACTTCTCCCAAACCCTCTCCACCTGTCCCACTGTAGGAGCAGGAGTTCTTGTTTTGTTGCTTGACTCCCGCTGACAGTCAGGGCTGGTTACATCCAGGGCCCCCTGCCATGTAAGTGGAATTCATTCGGAGGGGGAAACAGTTTTCCCAGGTAAGCATTTCCTCACCCTTGTTCTAGCCAGCCTTGGGGCAGGGCAAAAGTTCCACTGGACAGAGCCAGAAGGAAAAGAAAAAGTTTTACTCCTTCCTCTTTCATAATTGATGTGTCTTTTTCATCCAGTGGTTGGTGAAAACCATCATTCTTTGAATAAATAAATAAACAAACTCTTTGCCTTGGGCTGGGCAGAGGATTGCTGCCAGACAATGCAGCCTGAACAGAACAGATTTCCTCTCCTGTCCAACATTGATCAAGGACACTTTCAGCAATTTTACTTGGTATTTAAAAAAAAAATTAAAGACATCCATTAGAAAGATTTCCTTTGTCACCCAGTTGTCCCCAGATATTAAAAAACGAGATATAAAATTTTTTTTTTAAAAAGGTGTAAGTGGATCCCAGTTGCGAGTATGTGTGTTTAACTGCTTCTCATCAGAGAAGGGGACAGTTTATGCAGAAGGTCTTGTCCCAGTCAGTTCTCTGTTGCTTAGAAAGCCCAATTTGTAAAAGGCTACTTATCTTGGCTACCAGCTGAGGTGGGGGGTGGGGGTGGGGGCGGGGGTGAGGGTGAGGACTTTAAAAACAGCTCTTACTTCCACTGCAGCCCTAAAATTTTCAGACAAAAGAAATTTTAACTCAAACGTTGGAGCCATGAGAACGCCCTGTGACAACTGGACCCTGTATCCGCAGGATGGCCCACCTAAGAGCTGTGGCGAATACTGTTAGTTTAATACTGTTGACAACCAGCCACATCCAAGGACAGCTAGAAGTGACTTCATGACAATCAGACATCTTTACAGCCAGCTCTCCAGTGACCCAGCGACCTTACACGTCATCTCTAAAAGCCTAAGAGGCAGCGGCATCAGTCCTGTGTCTGTCCCTTTTCACATGTGCAATGGCCCCTGTTGCAGGTCCCTTTGTACAAGCCTCGTTTTTCCTCCCCCACCCCTTTCTCCTCCATCTCCTAGAGGCTTCTCCTATTTCCCCTCCCAATAAACTTCCCACGTGATACCTGCCGCATGGTGTGGTTTGTTTGAGACTCACTGAGTATTTCTAACAAATACAGTAAAACAAGTTAACTTTGGGTCAAGATCTTTTTTTTTTTGGGGGGGGGGTTCGAGACTGGGTTTCTCTGTGTAGCCCTGACTGTCCTGGAACTCACTCTGTAGACCAGGCTGGCCTCGGACTAAGAAATCCACCTGCCTCTGCCTCCCAAGTGCTGGGATTAAAGGCATGGGCCACCACCGCCTGGCTGGGTCAAGATCTTATATTCACAGCACAACACAACACAACACAACACAACACAACACAACACAACACGGTCGAGGCCCTCCGGTGAGAAGCACCAGAATGCTGCTGTCTGATGACTGTGAGCTAGTACCAGGCCCTACTCCTGGCCCATACTTGACTTTGGTTTGAGAAACCCACCACCATCCATCCTGCTACCCTCTTACCTGGTGACAACCTGGTACTCATTCATGATTATCCCAAGATGAAAAATGAGATCAGGTGTGTGGGAGCTGCAGTAGTTACTTTAACTGAATCAATTTGTACCCAAGCCTGGTAGAAAAAAGAATTGATTGATCTGAGCCAGTCTCCTGAAAAGATATTTTTTAAGTCAGTTAAATATTATAACAGGAATACAAGTAGTTAAAATTCCAGGTGAGCTAACTTGCTAACCCAAGGCCATTACAAGAGATGCAGAACAGAAAAACAAATGTCAATTAAATGTTCCAAAAATCTGTTCCCGTGGTGTCTGACTTAGCCTCCTCTGAAAAAACTCCTATCAGAGGTCCCAAGGCCACAGGGACCAGAAACTATTCTTGTGAGATTTGTCAAACCTCTGCCTGAGATCTGCTTACACATATTATAGACATTTATAACAACCAATTGTGTGTGATTACCCACAACCCTCTCCCTCCCCCCAGCCTTTGTCTATAAAAACCCTAAACTGTTAGATCTCAGGGTCGAATCCTCTGTCTCCTATGTGAGATATGTTTCGATCCGAAGCTTCGTATATTAAAAAGAACCTGACTTATGTTATTACAGCAAGAGGTCTCTAGAGTGTCTTTGGGGGTCGCGTCGTACCCGAGTCTATTTTTGATTCTGGGGAGTCTTTCACTCTCAGATGGGGAAAAAGAAAAGTCCAGCACCATATATATATAATGTATATAGACTGTCAATTGGTATGTTTTTATTATGAAACATACCCTGGTATGATCTATAAAGGGCTTCTCACTGCTGGGAAAAAAAGATATTAAAAACTCTTGGCCCTCCTGGAGGCTATTTGGCTTCCTCTACAAATTACTGTCCTCCACTGCTGGACTGCTGACCTGGCTGCCTGATGAATGGCTCTAATTCCAGTGGGCCCTATTGATATTCTGATGATATACCCCTACCTGGCGTTGCATGAAATTCCATGGTAAAGATGAAGCCTATGGATAGCTCAAACCACAGGCTGATGGAAGACAGCAGAGGGAAAGATCATTCTCCCAGAAACAACCAGCAGGACCGTTGGTAACTGACCTTCACCAGGCTACTCATCTGGGGTCCACAAAACTTTCTTAGTTGGTCAGACCAAGGTATGTTTCACATTGACTGGAGAGTTTAATATGGGATGTCTCAGCCAGGTGCTAGGTTTGTGTTCAAGTAAATCCAAAACAGAGAGCTCTTACCCAGGAAGGGGTCCAAATGAGAGACCAACATCCTCATAAACTTTGGCTTCACCAAGATTTGGCTGCTGGGAGAGGGAAAAGCACACGCTCTTTTAAAGACAGCTTTCCAGGTGGTAGAAGTGTTCTTCACTTGGACTAAAACTGCTCAAATAGTAGCTCGAAAGCTCCTCTGGGAGCTGGTCCATGATTTGTTCTTCCCCTAGCAATGGGGTCCCACAGTGGCTTGGCTTTCATAGCCAAAACCTCTCAATTAATAGCTAAAGCTTTAGACAGATTGAAAACTTCATTGTGAATATAGACCTCAGAATTCTGGCCAGATAAAAAGAATAAACAAGACATTAAAAGAAACGTTAACAAAACTCTCATCAGAGTCTTCCAAAGGAAAGATAGGCCTCCTTCCTTTGCTTTGCTTGGCCTGATGCACCCTATGTAGGGAGGGATTTACTGCCCCCCTCCCCCTTTGACATTATGTGGGGAAGACTTTCCCCACTGCTTCCCAGGCTCAGAGACTAATAGTTGGCAGTATCTTCTAACCATGCCTTTCTCAAGTCACTACAAACCTGTCTCCAGAATGGATCCATTGAAATTAAGGTTTCATTGGGCCCCAGGCCCTTCTGCTACCTCTACCTCCTTCTGAGACATGTGTTTGGTATGAATAAAGGGTTCTAGTCTAACTCTCAAGGCCCTTCGGCCTGGATCTGGGAACTAAGGAAGACAGATACAGGGAAGATATTAACTAATGTGAGTACAGACCAGAAACCCATATTCCACCTTACTGTTGGGAGCTGTGTTGTTGCTTCTGTAAGGCAGAGAGAGAGAGAGAGAGAGAGAGAGAGAGAGAGAGAGAGAGAGAGAATGAATTGCCCGCCAGAGAGAATTAAGGCAGGTAGGGGCCTGTTGGCAGTTTTCCCGGGCTGCTGAGGCATGGAAGGATGAAGAGGCGCACCTAGGGCTCAAGGCTAGGGCTGAAGACTCTGTTGACCTTGGTGGAAAGAAATGGAATGGGAAGAAATGTCTCCTGTACGTTTTAGCAAATTGTTTCTGTTACATTGTAGCTTTGTTTCCCATGATACTGTAAAGTATATAAAACCTAAGAGCATTAAACTCAAGGCTGCCACAGTATTGACGGACAGTCTTCTTGATTTTTAACCTTTGTCTCTGAGTCTTCTTTTCCGTCTTTCCTATAATCATCTTCACTTCCCGTTCAGAGGACTACCCGACTTAGTACCAGCTGAACTTAACCTTTACTTAATAATGCCTATTTTAAATTTCTCTCCTCTCTCTCTCTCTCTCTCTCTCTCTCTCTCTCTCTCTCTCTCTCTCGATAGTAATACAAAGTTTACAATTCTTTATATGCCCTATGGCTGGCCTCCTGACTGCCAGCAACAAGGGATTTTTTTTTTTTCATTACAAAAACTGGGGTTGTAAAACTGAGGCTTTTTTAAAAAACAAAAACAAAAACATTTCTTTCAAAAGATTCCAGCCTTTGTGCAAGGGTGAGGAGGGGAAACAAACCCGAGTCATCAGACTCTATGCCACAAGAAGGGATCTTGGGCATAGAGTCAATCATTCCCCAAAATCAGCCAGGATTTCTGGCTATGCATAGACACCTGGTCCCCATACTACATTGGGATAGGAACTAACCAGACTGACACCCGTCAACTGACAAAACTCACCTCAACAGGGAGAAGCCCAGATTAATATCAGAGGACTCATACGGGGCTAAAACTTGCCTAATATCCAGAGCCTTTAACTTAGGCCCCTCCCCTAATTTTGATGCCTGCTATTTTGATACATCCTCTTCGGATGCTTTCCAAACTAAATATACAGGCTGATCAGGATCTAGAGGTATTAAAAGAACAAATTCCCTTATAGAAATGATCCTACAAAATTGGAGAGGCTTAGATTTACTTCTCATGAGATTAAAAAAAAAGTCTGGCTTAAAGAGACAACCTGTCATTTCTATGCTAATTGATCAGGAGTAATTTTTTAAAAATCTTGCCATGGTTGGGGAAATGACTGGTATCAGGCTCTGTTCTCTTGGCCCCTATGGCTACCTACTCTGCTATGAGCACTTGCTGAGTCTTTAATTCTCATTCTGATTGGATTAGCAACAAGGCCCTGCATCTTAAACTAAACCAGTCTGAGTTCATGATTTGACTCATTCACTAAGACCCAGTGGGAAATGTAACAAGGCCCCAGACCTTAGCATAATTGACTCCATAATGGTAGTAATATTCAGGCTGTAAAACTCAGCATGCAGACAACACCACTTGCCAAAACTAAAACAAAGGTCTAATGCCTCAAAGTTCATATAGTTCTGGAATGTCTTTAAGTGTACTAACCTTGCTTTTGGCTTCTGTAATTCTGCTTCTGGCTAACTGTTATTGTTCACTGAAGTATGTCAACCCAGAACATGTTATTTTGGTTTTTTGTTTGTTTGTTTGTTTTGGTTTTTGTTTTGTTTTGGGAGGGTTTATTTTTGTTGTTTTGGTGTGTGTGTGTGTGTGTGTGTGTGTGCTTTAAAGCTCACTCTGAGAAAGGCTCTGAGCTACACTGGGATCCCAGACACCCAGTGTAGTAGTTGGCTGGCTAGTAAAGACTTTCCATTGGCTTAACAGTCTTCTTTGGTGGGTACCCAACAATGATTAACCCTCAGGCCTGCCTGACTTCCTCCTATCTGCTTCTGTGTTCCACTGTCGGACACCACAAAACCATAAGAAGCCAAACAGATCCTACAGCTTGCTAGACACTTCCCAGAAATAGAACTGAGCTGAGGTAATGTGCTTGACTTAGAATTTGAGGATCAAATTGCAAAGCCTTAGTGGTTGCATCAATGGGTTCAGAGAGATCAAAGTGTCTAGATTGTAGTGCTCTGTGTTCACAGATCTAGGAGGAGGCATACATTTTTTGGGAGATCTGACAAATCTGATTTGATATTATTTTTTCATGTGTGTGGGTGTTTTGCTTCTATGTATGTTTATGAAACACTCTGTATACTTAGTGTCCAAAGAAGGCAGAAGAGGGTATTGATTGGACATCCTGGAATAGTATTCTAGACAGCTGTGAGCACTCTGTACTGAGGATAAAATCTCACCCTCTGGAAGAGCGGCTAAGACTTTTAACCCCTGAGCAGTCTCTTCAGCCCTGGGGTGGTGTACAAAAATGGCCCTCATAGGCTCACATATATGAATGCTTAGTCATCAAGGAATGATACTACTTGAGGATTAGGTGTGGCTTTTTTTGAATAGGTGTGGCCTTTTTGGAAAAATTGTGTCACTGGGGGTGGGCTTTGAAGTTTCAAAAGCCCTAAGCAGGCACTGGTGGCTCTCCCTCTTCTA